TCATCCAATCAAAGCTTCATCAGTGCGTGAGACGCCTCAGGTCGAAGCAGTCGAACGAACATTCACAATGCACCACGGTTCAGGGACAACCATCACATTGGGAAAATTCCTGAAATAGGGGCGACACTCCTGGAGAAGGACCCCATATTTGAACGTTTTTCGTCCATTCCCTTCACTTTTCCGGGAAAACTTCCTCTTTCCACCCACCACAACGGCGAACCAACACACGGTTGAAACTTTGCTGATTGTACTAAACCACTTCCTTACAGTCATTACAATATAGTACTCCCGACATTACGTGCACCTTCAGTGCCAACCAAGAGGGGCGACAATTAGGAAACTCACTCCTTGGAATATCTTCTCTCATACAAAACTTATCAGGATTTAAATGAGGTTGCCTTGTTTTTAGACCATAACCCCCACGCATACTTGGTTTCTGAAGGGGGCACAATCCCTTTGAATGCAAACAACCCTTCACCAAGACTAATAAGTCACTTTGACGGAGGACGGCGAACACATCAAAACTAATAACTTCGAGAAATTTCAATAAATAAGTGCATTCTCGCAACTTTCGAGGGCTGCAACATTTAAAGCACACACGGTACAATAAACACCACAAGAAAACCAGAGGGTTACAGACTGAAAGGGTACGTGAAGGACCCAAGCACAAAGACTAACTTTCTCGGGATTTTTGCTCAGTCCTGCTCGCACAGCAAAATGCTGATTTCCAGTTGCAACCTGCCTTACTGCCATTCCCGTGATTCGTCCAATGGTTGTGCCTCGTTGTAACAGCATCAACGGGTGAGGAATACGCACACTATTTATTAAGATTTTTTTCATCTGTTTCAAGATCGTCTGAGATTGCGATATCAAAGAAGATCATACAATCTTGAGCAACCAAATCAGCCATTACAGTGAATATCATATTTAAACAAAAAGGAGAACGGAGGGACTGGGTGGTTGGGTTGACGGACTACTTGAACTCAGCCCTTTACCGCCTCTGCGCTCTCTGGCGGGTCCCTCTCCTCTCCAAGGCTTAGTCCTAGGGCATTCTCTAATCGTCTGTGCTCTAGCCATCGCGGCAGGACCATTGAGGAAAAATCAAGTAGTCCGTAAAGTGGGTGGTTGAGCATCGGTAGTGCAGTCGGTAGCGGTCTTGCTTCTCAGTGAGGGGGCTTGGTTCGACCCCCTGCAGGGTTTGGTGTTTTGCTTTTTTTTCCAACATGGACTAAAAAGCCTTTTTGAATCCGTTATTTTATCAACGGTCGCCCGACGCTACATCTACGAAGAGTTTGCAAGGTAGATCCTCTTAAGTTTAAGCACTACTTGCCTGTGAGTGCCCATGGTGCCCGTAGTGCAGGTGCTATGCTTTTCCGTGGCAAGTAGGTACGATATTCGTATTCAGGGGATCAACTACCCCTTACAACGGGTTTTTGCCAAATCTGAGGTCGTGAAATAATTGAGAAAAAGCGGAGCAGTGATGGGATTACCACTCCTCAAACTCCACTTTTTTGGGTTGACCAATCATGGACGACGGGGGAAAGGGGAGAGAAGGTGTTGTATTAGGAAATAATGGCTTTGTAGATCTTTGGATGATGCAGACGGGCAAGCCAGACACAATTTTGTCTATTATGAAAAGTTTTAAAAAGGTTTATTCTACCCAAGTGCCAGCCTTTTGTAATGGATTGGTGGATCGGTGAGTAAGTTACTGCCCAAATTTTGTTGGGTCAAAATTTCAGAATT